GGGACACATGGCCTCCAAAGGTTACTCAGGACTGTCTCTGGCTGGAGTCCTCCAAGGTGATGCTGCTTTTTCTTTTCTTTCTTTCTGTTTTGTGCTTTTCTCATTTTTCTCAAACATTCTACAATGAAGCAAAAATATTTTTTTTTTTTTAAATTTTTTTTTTCAACGTTTATTTATTTTTGGGACAGAGAGAGACAGAGCATGAACGGGGGAGGGGCAGAGAAACAGGAAGACACAGAATCGGAAACAGGCTCCAGGCTCCGAGCCATCAGCCCAGAGCCTGACGCGGGGCTCGAACTCACGGACCGCGAGATCGTGACCTGGCTGAAGTCGGACGCTTAACCGACTGCGCCACCCAGGCGCCCCCAAAAATATTTTAAAAATGCTAAGAGAATTTCCACCCTTCCCCATTATGCTCACATTTCTTTTGGTCAAATTTTGCTCTTTCTACTTGATGTGCTTCTGACCTACCGGCCACCCGCATCTGTATCGTTCAGGCCTGTTGTCCTTCTGGGTCACGTTCTCTCCCTCTTTCACCAGGAGCTCATGAAGGACTTCTTGGAGAAGAGAGGTAAAGGACAGCTTCTCATACAGAGAAACAGAAGACTCAAAGAGAATCTCTTGAGACCGGTAATTTTATTTTATTTTATTAAAAATTTTTTAAAAATATAATTTATTGTCAGGTCGGCTAGCCTACAGTGCATAAAGTGTGCTCTTGGTTTTGGGGGTAGATTCCTGTGGTTCATCACTTATGTAGAAACACCCAGTGCTCATCCCAACAGGTGCCCTCCTCAAGGCCCATCCCCCATATTCCCTGCCCCGCCCCCAATCAGCCCTCAGTTTGTTTTCTGTGTTTAAGAGTCTCTTATTGGGGCGCCTGGGTGGCTTAGTTGGTTAAATGTCGGACTTCAGCTCAGGTCATGATCTCACCAATCGTGAGTTCAAGCCCTGCATCAGGCTCTGTGCTGACAGCTCGGAGCCTGGAGCCTGCTTTGGATTCTGTGTCTCCCTTCCCGTCTGCACCTCCCCCTTTTATGTTCTGTCTCTCTCTCTCTAAAATAATTAAAACATTAAAAAAAAAAAAAAAAACGATGGTGGGGCACCTGGGTGGCTTGGTCAGTTAAGCGTCTGACTTCGGCTCAGGTCATGATCTCACCGATCGTGAGTTCGAGCCCAGCGTTGGGCTCTGTGCTGACAGCTCGGAGCCTGGAGCCTGCTTCGGATTCTGTGTCTCCCTTTCTCTCTCTGCTCCTTCCCCACTCGCACTCTGTCGCTCTCTCTCTCAAAAATAAATAAACAAAAAAAATCTCTTACTGAGACTGATAATTTTAAACTCAAGCACTGTTTTCAAAATTCTACTGAATTAAGTGTGAGTCAGGCAAACAAACGTTCCATAAATGAATTATCATTTGGAAAATACCAGGTGGTGTTTTTTCCTTTAGATCTGGAAACCACCATGTTTAAAATTCCCTAAGATTTTAGGAACAGAGGAGAAAGCTGCCCTTAATTATGTTTACCCTCGTTTTCCGAGTGAAGAAATGAACGCATCAGTGCAGGAATATGTAAAACACCCTTTGGTTGGTGCTGAAGGCATTTCCAGTGAGTTTGAATCCATTAGTGGTGGAGTCAGCCTGAGTGGTTTTTCATTGGCTTTTTCTACCTCACTGGGGATTTGGGGGGGTGGGGGGGACTTTGGCGACCTGGGAGGGAAAGGAAGGAAATGGAAAACTCGAGGGAGCCAGAGTGGTTATTACCCAAGTGGTCCGAGTGGTATTACCGCCAACGAAATGGGTCCTAGACAGCGAAGGAAGGAAGGGGCACGTGGCAGTGAGGTGAGTCTGAAAAACTCCCATTTCCGTTGTAGATGCAGCTTTCCGTGTCGGAGGATGGGTACGTTCACTGTGGCGACAAGGTGATGCTCGTGAACCCCGCCCACGCGGAGGTGGAGGCCCACCTGTTTCTGGGCGGGGACCTGAGCCTGTGCGCGACTCCCGATGAAATTAAAGCGCATCTGAGCGACGAGTTAGAGGTGCCGTGTGGCCTGAGCGCAGCTCAAACCAGGATCCCGGTTGGCAGAAACACTTTCACCATTTTGAGGTAGAGACGCTCCCCTCGTCCGCGCGTTTTTGCCATAAATGTGTTTGCGCGCAGAGCTTCAAGGTGCCTGGAGGCCAAGGCAGTGGGAATCTTCTCTGGGATTCCCGCCTTGCCGTCCCCCACTGAGGACGCCGTTGGGGCCCTTTTTACACACCCTTCACCTTAAACCTCAGGGCAACTGCTAATTCGTGTTCGATTATAAAGGCTTCCTTCCGAGGTATTGGATCCAGAGAACTAAATTCACACTCCGCCTGGACTGGGTTTTGCTAACAGCTTCTCGGGGTGCTCGGAGCTCATTATGGGTGTTTCTGTGGCTTTTAATCACTCTGTTGCTTTTATAGCGAAACTAGATAGCTCGGTGCAAGGGGAGTTGCTCTTTTTAATGAACTGATTACCAAAAATGTGCCTGAGGTTTTGAAAATGAGCGATTAAATCCTCAGACAGCAGATCCGTGATTACAGTAGGAAAGCCTTGCCTTCACTTTGCTCGTGAAATAAGGATAGCAATGTTTCTATTACGAAAATGTAGCCCGACCTCTTAGTCCTCAGATTTCTTTTGAATACCGGTAATTCATTCATGCTGAGACAACCAAACGCCGAGCACAAGTTCCGCGTCCCGGAGGGTTGAGGGGGAAGGCTGTGTTAGGTGTGTTCAAATCAATGTGTCACCCTGGATCTTTCTAAAGTTGTCCGCGCACCTGACCAGAATTCCTCAGGGCAGGGCAGCGTGACGTGCTCTGGGCCCACAGATAAAGGGGCGTTGTGCGTTCTGGCTGTGGCGGGACGCAGGGACAGGGTGCCGGCCGGATCTGAGGGCCAACAGAAACGGCCATCTCGAAAGTGTGGACACGCATTAGTGAGAACGTGGGTTATAAACAGAGTTGCACGCACCAGAACTAGAACGTGGCAGGGATCGTACTGCAGGGACTTGACGCAATGCTTATTCTTGACGCGCAGGGCAGACGGAAACGCCACGGGTCAAGTCCTCAGATACGGACAGGACTTCTGCCTCGCGACCACGGGAGGGTTTGAAGACAAAATGGTGAGTCGCGGCCACCGGCTGAAGGGGACAGGGGACGCTGCAGGCGTCTCTGGCTTCGTCCCGGTCTCAGCCTGGAGCTTTGCACACGCGGTGTCGGGGGTCACTTCTTGCCTCGTCGCTTTTCCAATGACGAAGCGAATACCCTCAGGCGCTAAGGAGGAAGGGAGAAAACCCTCCTTTGCTACGCAGCTGACGCAAAACCAAAATTTACACTGCTCCACCTGTAAGTTAATGATTGGATTAATCAATAATCATCTGACATCTGTCAATGTCACCAAAGCCAGCAAGGCGTATTATCTGGTAACTTTTTTTTTCCTTTTTTTTTTTAAACTTGACTTTTCTCTTTCCCCTGGGGATTAGAACCAGCTACATGTGGGTTTAACTCCAGCTGAAATGTCGATCTATGGGGTGGGGCTTTGGGTAAAGTTGTTGACCTTTCTTGAGTCTTTGTCGACTATAACGTGGGATTGTTGCACCTTGCTACATGCTTAACTGCCTCACTTGTATGAACTCACTTCGATATCCAAACAAGTCTGTGAGCTAGGGACCGTTTTACGCCCATTTTACTGATGGGGACACCGAGGCACAAGGTCAGGTGATTTTGCCCCGGGTCGCTCAGCCGTTAAGCGGGCGGACTGGGTACTCCGTACCGTCTCTCCCCGAATCACAGCTTCCATCACTGTATCGTGTAGCATTATTGCCTCTTGTGCTACCAAGAAAAATCAGCGTTGCCAGTCGAACCCCTACACCACAGATGGTCAGCTGCAGCCTGATTTGAAACGTAGAAAGTAGAGAAAATACCAAATCGTTGAAGGAGGGGAGTAAGTCACAGTTGTCCTATGCAGAGATTAACATTCCTAACATTTTGGCTTACTTTCTTTTATAGTCTGTTCTCTCCCTCCCTCCCTCCCTCCTTTGTTCCCTACCTCTCTCTCCTCCACTCTCTCCTTAACTCTCCCAACTCCTTTGTCTCCTATAAATTATCTCTTCTCCGCCTGTGCATTGATTTGCGTTTATTACCTGCCCTTCCACAGACGATAACATTCTGTCATTTTGCAGGTAATGTTTCCTGCCCACCTGCTATGTGGCTTTTATTTTTATTTTATTTTGTTTTATTTTGTTTTATTTTATTTTATTTTATTTTATTTTATTTTATTTTATTTATTTATCTTTTTTGGCGACTTGGCTTTGACATGGTAGTTGTTTTACCGTATTTTAGAGTAAACAGATCAGTGTTTCCCTTTGCAATTCCTGCCCCTGCCCCAGAGATACTATAGAAAGGGAAACTTGTATCGACTTCTTGATGGCTCAAGTTGACCTTGTGCTGGGATTTCTTCTTGCTTTCTTCTTCTTTTTTTTTTTTAATGTTTTTTTTTTTTGAGAGAGAGAGAGAGAGAACATGTGGGTAGAGGGGGGCAGAGGGTCCGAAGCGGGCTCTGCGTTGACAGAAGAGAGCCTGACGTGGGGTTCAAGCTCACGAACCGCGAGATCATGACCTGATCCGAAGTCCGATGCTCAACTGACTGAGCCTCCCAGGTGCCCTGGAGTTTTTTCTTCTTTAATTAATGGATTTATTTTTATTTTAGAGAGAGAGAGAGAGTGGGGGAGGAGTCAGGAGAGAGAGAGAGACAGAGAGACAGAGAATCCCAAGCAGGCTCCATGCTCAGGACAGAGCCCCACGTGGGACTCGATCCCACAACCCTGGGATCATGACCTGAGCCAAAATCCAGAGCTGGAGGCTCAACCAACTGAGCCCCCCAGGCGCCCCAGGTCCTCCTTAGCCGCTTGAGATTTATTCTGATACAGGGTTCCATGCAGACGTGTGATTTCCCCCCAATGACTAAAGAGCCACATTTGTGTTATTTCTTGAATAATTACTCTTTCCTCACTGACACATGCCTTGCATAGCACCCGTGAAGTCCCCATACATCCATGAGCTCTCTCAGCTTCCTATCTGGACGCTTTGAGCTCAAGTTGTGTATTTTTGTCCAAGCGGTATACTCTACATTCGGACAGCTCTAGGGCTGTCTCTCTCTCGTCACACCTCTTCGTCTGTATCGCATTAGGAATGAACGTCTCAGTTAGATGCAGCTACTGTTGCAAGTTTCTCTGCCCCCCCCCCCC